TTATGTCATAAAGAAACAATTTATACAAAGAAATAAATGTCAATGTTAATGGGATTAATGATGAAATCACTTCGCTAACAGAACTTAATGAGACATTAACTTACTATCAATTACTTGAATAATAAGATCCTTATATTTGTGTTATATGTATATACCTATGTATGGGAAAATTGCGCCTTGAAGATAAAAATTTGAAATTGTCGAAACTACTTGGCGTGTGTCTTCCACATATTTTTATTTAATATATATATATCATAAAGAAATAATTATATATATATATATATATATATATATATATATACTTACTAATTTAAAAATATGGTTCCATCGCTACACATGAATTACCATGTTTCAAAAACCGAATCTAAAAGCTTTAAATTCACTTATAGAATTAAAGTCTTTAGTTGTGTTTCATTTTCAAGTGTATTTTGGAATAACTTATTTTGAATTTTTTTGAGTTTTATAAGCACATACTTTCATAATATTAGTTTCTAAGGATATGTGGAAATCCAATCATTTTAACATTTCTGACCAATACCCATGTGTAACAAATACATGTACCGAGACTATTAACCTATTTCCTTTACATTTCCCCACGGCATGGGCCTTATTCCCTACGGCAAACTTATTATGTTTCAAATATTTTTTTCAATGTACGATACAATTTTTCAAATAAAATATTCTCTGATTTTTTTATCTTCCATATCGCACGTGCATCTTTTTTCACAAAGATATATATTCTTTGGAATTTTTTTTTTTTTTTGGACTCTGAAGATGAAGTTGAAATCACTGTAAATTATTTTTTAATGAGTGGTTGCATGTTCTTTTTTGGGTGTCCGTGTGCATATATGTATGTGTGTGTGCGTGCGTGTGAGCGTATGAATGTGTGCTACATCAGTTACAAACCACTTAAATTCTCTAGCCTTGTAAGATGATCAATATAGTTTTACAGCCTAAAGTAGGATATAAAAAATTGGTCCACCGCTATTTCACCATGCCTTACAAATCCTGTGGGTTGAATATTCATATTTAGTCTCTCGTCCACTGATCACGTGCATCCAGTACAACTTTGTGTTAATTATTAGAATTGCTGTGCGGATATATCTGTTTTCATGTACATCTTCCAGCTTTCACGTTTCACATTGAAGGAAACAGTTTGGTTGCTTTTATGTGTTAAGGCGAATTATAATTGGAAAAAACGTATGTATATGTGTGTACGTGTGTTTGCGTGAATGTGTGTTAATACATGCATGTGCGTGTGAGAGTCTGTATGTGTTTTAGCTAGACGGAACAAAATTAAACAAAACTGTTGATACACAAATCAATTTTTTTGCAGAATATTAAATCTGAATAAATTTTTCACATAACTTTTGTAATATTTCCCATATCATTCAATAAATATATATGTATATATAAATATATATATATATATACAATATGTATATATATAAATATATGTATATGTATATACATATATATATATATATATATATATATATAATATATATATATATATATATATATATATATATATATATATATATATATATTTGTGATGTTTGAAGAAAGAAAGCAGATAACAAAATCACAGGTGTGTTATAAACATTAAATAGCATTATAAAAATTGTGCTCGCACACATACACACGTATATATATGGAAAGGTTGATGAATATTCATCAGATTTTCACTTATCTTCTATATATATTTGTGTGTGTTTGTGTGCGAGCACAAATTTTATAATGCTAGTGTATATAACAATATATATATATATATATATATATATAATTTCAGTGAAAACCTGATGAACATTCATCAATGTTTCATATATATATATATATATATATATATATATATATATATATATGTGTGTGTGTGTGTGTGTGCGAGCACAATTTTTAGAATGATATTTAATGTATATAAGAAAGTTGTGATTTTATCTGCTTTTTTTTTCTTCCCTTTTCTTCAAACATCAAAATTTATTTTTTATAATGTTCCCGCCAACCCAATTTTTTTTCTTGTCCTATTTTCCCAACCTCGCTTTCACTTAGCTTTACCCACTTTAATTGATTCTTTCTTTTTGTTACGTCTTTAAACCAGCGTTATCCGGCAGCCATTACCGGATATCGAATGACAGAAAATCTCAACACGCCTTCTGTTATGCACGAACCGATTTCCGCAAACAATTTTTTTCTTGAATTCAAAAAGTTTTCATTTGTTTTGTTTTTTTTTGTTTTGGCCTTTATTCATTCCAACAATACATTTTCAGTATCTTTCTCTATGAAGTTCTGTGGTGAGGATTTATCATTATAATACACTGATTTATTTGAACCTCCTTCCTTATTGCCGTCTGAAGTGATATTGTTTGCGTTGTTTTTATTCAAGTTTTTTTTTTTTGCATTCGGTAATGTTGTGAGAATCTAAAACTAAACCCAACTGTTATTATTCCTATATCTATGCAAGACGTATTAGTTATTTCTTCTTTTACTTAAAATATTATATTTTGATCCAGTGGAACGAATACAAACATCATCATCCGTTTGATTTATCTAAAGACAATAAAATAGAATGAAATCAAATTTTCTCGATAGTAGTTCCTATTTTGGAACTCAACTCCCAATTATTTTATTTGGTGTTCTAAAATAGTTTCTACGGGCATATTCTTTCTGTGGCACCATTTACCAAGGCAGAAAAAGAAAAGAAAGGAAAGAAAGGAAAAGAGAGGCGAAGACCCAAAGCGTGGATGATAAGCAGAACACCCACGGCTAAGAGACAATGGATAAAGGATATTTTGATAAATAACAAATGGCGAAGAGTGTCATTACAATGAAAAAAAATTCTGAGTGGATAAAGAAATCGGGTGTGTTCTGACGACGGGCTGTGTTATTGGGATACATAAACAAACCGCTAATGCGGGAAGGCATCTGATTGGCAAACCACAGACCGACTAGCCAAAGAAAAATCCAAATGAAAATGTTATTTTGATAAGTGACGAAAAACAGGTGGACTACAGGGCTTTGGATATATATGAAAAATTAATTGTGTCAAAAGCCGCACACGAGGTGGCCACTGACCGATTTCTTTCGACAGAACATCTTTAGCCTGCGATAATAAAACTATGTTATCAGAAATGTGTACCGAAAAATGAATGGGAACCTAGAAATGTTTCTTTTTTCGAGGCGACGGTCTGGCCGTGTTAAAAAAGACCACCCATTCTGATAATTAGCGATAAGATGACTGACGAAGCCCAGGTGAGAACAAGAGTTATGACCACCATCGATCGTATTGTTCTGTTTGCGGCTAGAGAAAATGATAACTGCTATTAAAAGAAAGAAAAGGAAAAGAAAAAGATAATTTTTTTTTTTGTTAAGCAAGATATTTTTTTTTCCTGAAACAAAGCCGCGGGATCGTACACGCCCGACTAGACATCATTGGTCGAGTGGTGATCACGTGACGCAAGGAGGAGTCTGTCGCCGCCCATCTAGAGGATGGGTATGAGAGGTTGCTACGAAGAAGTGGGGAGGGCAGTTCACGCCCCTCTGAAGTATGGTGAGAAGGTGGGAGTAAGAGAAGTCTCCCAAAAATGGAAAAAAAAGTGGAAAATTCCTAACCAGAAATAAAAGAGGTGGATATTTATTTAGAATTATAGAGGACCCCCCCGGCGCCGACAAACCCACCCCGGTTTTGGTCGGCGTCCATATAAGCGAAGTCGCAGCGAGCAGAAATCAGTTCGAGTTAGAGTTTCAGTTCCAGTTCCAGCAGAGAGCTCGAAGTTTGCAGTGGAAGTTGGTTCCACCTCGCAGATAGCTGACTTGAAAGATTCACGCAAATTCCGGACTCCTCTTCAATCCAAGAACAATTAATTTGAAGAGCGATTTAGATCCAGACCACCAAAATAAGTTTTTTTTCGACTTTCGCCCGAAGACACACTGAAAAACCCATTTCTTAAAGAGCAAACAACTTGAAGCGTTAAAACTCGCCTAACGGAAAACAACGTGTCACAATCCATAGAACGGGTCGGGAAATAGACGCAGTCCTATGTATCTAACAACTAGACATAAAGTTTGTTATCCTTTTTTTTGATACCTTGAATTTTTGAGTTATCATTTCATTTTCTTTTATGCATATTTGTGCGGTGTCACCCCCGTCTGAACCCGATTTGCATTACGGCCACAACTACTGATTGATCTCGTCTGCCTAAGATCAATTCACAACGTGTGTAGGCAGACTGGAGATCAGTGCAGTTACTTTGGTAAGCAGGCGTTGGAAGCGAGTTGGGAACGACGAGGCTGATATCGAATCTAACCAGATTCCCATCCGAATCACAAAAAGGTTAGAACGTCACATTTGGGTGCCGCAACCGATACCAAGCCAGCTGGTCGTCACAGGACGAGACAACACGACTGACGCGACAGGCGGACGTCACGTTTGGAGCGGCGACACCGGAACGGAGCAGCGAGGAGCGAGCGAAGGCTGCGTTTAAGGACGTCGCAGCTGGCGCTGCGACAAGGACGTCACATTTCTGTTTTAACGTGATCTTCCCACGTCTCAACCAGAAACGTCAATGCAATTTCTTTTTAGACTTACGACGCTAAATGTTACCCTGTAAGTTGTGGAATCGGGAAAATGTTCAGAATTTGAGCAGAAATTTTGTAATTAAAAATTCTAAACATTTATTTGCAAAATGTACAGGTTTACAATTCCATGAAACCAAAATTCATAAAATTGTACTGTTCTAAAACTTTCGTTATCAGAAAAGATGAAATTTGTGTCAGACATTTGTATTAGCAATAACCAAGATTATTATTCCCTTATAATTCCCTTGTTTTGGGACTTGCAGAGAGTTGCGGTGCGCGTTTGTTTGCATCTTTTGAAATCATTCCCCGTGCACCAATGACTGCTATTGTGATTGTTTTGAGTTTATACAACCTGCAAAATTCAATTTCAAGATATTTGTATGACAGCTGGGATTGCGGCAGCTAAAGCAAGGCCTGCTTTCAAAATGATTTATAACGAAAATATCAAATCGATTAGTATCTGCCTCACTGTTTGCAACTTGAAGTGCCAAAGAGCTGTATGAATTGCGTTTTAAACAATATGTCGTGGTGTATGTTTACCGCATGTTCATTCCCTGGGGATAATCAAATATACGGTATATCACCCAGTGTATTTATTGGGCTGTTTCATCGTGTCATTCTAAATAATCTGTTGCTGTCCATTTACTGCATCCAGAGATTACGTAGTTAATTGTGTCCAAGTGTTCTCCAAACACACGATATAATAGGCTGATATCAATTTACACAACCTCGAACTTTTAATTTCTTGTTCGAAGGCACTAATCATGATTATCAACAATATACCTTATATACAGTTTCTTGCTTAAGCCTAAAACAAGCCAGCAACTAATGGTAAAAGTTTGATCACCATTAAAATCGTTTGCTCTATTGGGCTATTTACCCGGCTGTGTCTTGTGTACGCCCATTTTTCTTAGTATGTTGGAAATCTTTATTCTTATTTCTTTCGCAATTTCAGTTAGAGACATATACTCTTCATTGTCTTCATTTAGTTTGGTTTGGTTTCTTTTACGGCATATCAGCCTCAACGGGTTATTTAATATCGACAAGATTTTTATTGCTGCTAATATTTTTGTTTCAAAAATGTATTACTGGTAATATGTTTTTCCAAAAGAATTATTGCTGGTAACATTTTTCCTTCAAATATTCATTGCTGGTAATAATTCTTTCTTCAAAAATTAATTGTTAGTAATATTTTTGCAAAAATGTAAAGCTCGTATTAAAACCTATTTTTTATACTTTCATAGTATTTTGACACCAGTTTGGGGGTTAATTATTTGTCGATAGCTGGGACCCTAACAGGTGCTACCACCCTGGGTCAGAATGGACCTGGGAACACCAGCAATTGAGAAGTGCTTTTATGCTCCTCAAATCCTCCTGAACACAGGGCCTTGCTGTCGGATGTAATTAATACCCAGGATGCGTCTTAATTTGGATTTCTAGGACAACCACTTCATTATTATTATTATTATTATTATTAAAGATATTTGCTTGGCGATTTCTATTATGAAAAAGTTGTAAGATTTAGGTATAGAAGATCCGTAACATTTACGAGCAAGATTAAAAAACCTCTATAGAAGAATTAACAGTAGATTTATGTCTCTTCATATTAAGAATATTATGTTGTGGCCTTATGCAAGTGTCTTACATATGCCTAATGAAAGATTTCCTAAAGTCACCCAGAAAACAAAAAAGAGGCATGCCAAAATCCCTTGACGAAAGACAGTGATGACAGAATTGAAAAAGATGGCATTCTAATGGAGATACTCAAGACAGGTTTCATCAGTGGGTGTACGATTTGCGGTATTAAGACTCTGTTATCATTTTTTTAGCTAGTTTAAACTCATTTTCATGAAATAACATATATTATTATGTTTTCAATCGTATTAAGTATATTTTCTGCAAGAAGATTTTTTATTAGAAACAAAGCAGTCTACTTTAAAATCATTAAAATTAAAAAGATATCCAAAAAAAACATTAACAAAAATTGCTTTCGCTTCCCTAGGTCAACTGCTGATGTATTAACGATTATTGCAGATAGAGTCTATGAAGCATCAGAATGGTAAAGTTCAGGTTGTTGTTTTGGATATCTCGAAGAAATTTAAATGGGTTTGTCATACTGGTCTTCTTTACAATTTAAAAGGTTATAATTCTGGACAAATTTTTGAGAAGATCCAGTCTTAGCAAATCGCGAAATTAAAGTTTTCTTAAATAGCCACTCTTGTAAAATTTTTTGCGCTAATTCAGGTGTTAATCGGGGTTCTAACTTTGGAGATACGTTGTTTCTAATTTTCGTCAGCGACCTTCCTGATGTAATCAGTTCTTACTCGGTATCTGTCCGCATGGCACAACTATTTACTCCTGTTTGAACAGTAAATCAGATCGATTCGAGAAGGTCAAGGATGATCTCAAAAGTAACCTTCAATATGTTGTTAACTAGGACAAGGACTGGCTTGTTAATTTTAACACCTCAAAAACAAAGCTACTCTCTTCCAATTGTCGGAGAGGGACCCTTTTTGCTCTTCTAATAACATATCTGATTAAAACGTCCAAGAGAGTGACTCATTGTGCATTACCGGACTAATGTTTTCAGCTGAAGTGAAGTGAAAAGATTATAATGAATCAAGTGCTAGGACTGCTAGTAAGAAGGTTGATTCACTGTAGTGCTAGAAAGTTTACCTCGCCAGAATCTATCTTACAGATATATAAGTCATCCATTTGTCTTTGCCTTGAATAATGCTGCCAAGTCTGGTGATGCTCCTGCTGTATGTTTAAAGATTCTTGATAAAATGCAAAGAACAATCTGCAATGTTATTGGCCCCTCCTGGCATCTTGGCTTCAGTTTCTTTCCCACTGTCGTAACGTGGCTTCCCAGTGCTTTTTTCTATAAATACTTACATGGTTATTGTTCTGATGAACGTTCCTCTTTGTTAACTGGAATTTATGAATATAAACGCACTACTACTTTAAATACAAAGTCACTCATTCTCTTCTGTTATCTTAATTTTTACTCTTTTATCTTATTCTTTCCGAAAATATTTTTTCTTATTCTCTAACACTTAAAAAACCTTTTCGTCTTAGTAGCTTCATTGTTTTAATTGGGGTTAAATATTAACAACCAGTTTTGACGATTACAAATGATATATTTCTTGATGAAAACACAAGCCATATTGGCTTATGAGTCCTCTTAGCATAATATCTAATTTGTAAATAAAGTGTTTTATCATATATATATATATATATATATATATATATATATATATATATATAGAGAGAGAGAGAGATAGATAGATAGATAGATAGATAGAATGTAGGTATAGTGTTAGACAAATGAGATAACTAGATATTGGTGACTGTATACGCGTGTGCTGGCCTGCATACGCTGGTTAGCACATAAATAATTACCAAATTTAGCCAAGAGGTATGGACATAACAGTGCTCAATGGGATGAGACAGAGCTAAGATATATCTCGTGCCCGATGAATTGGGTAACCAGCGAAACCACACATCAAATGTAGGTATATGAGTATTTATTAGCACATACACACTAATACACACACACGTATATATACATACATACATACATACATAGATATCATGTATCTGGATGTTAAAAGTTGGTGTTTGGGTGTCAGACTGAGTCGCAAGATACATGAAATCACCGTGATTTTCTGTATTCCAATGTCACTGGCGTCCTCAAAATGCAAGTTCTTTCTTGATTTTATGAATCAGTTTATCATTATAATTAATATTATCATCTATTATGATTATATAATATTATTATAAAAAAATTGGCTCAACTCTATAATTTATGTTACACACTGTTTCTCAGTTGCAAAGGATAGTGATTATATAATTTTCAACTGGTTTTTTGTGTTCTTTTCTTTTCATTTCCCATACAGCTTTTCTTTTCATTTCTCATAGAGCTTTTCTTTTTCATTTCTCATCCAGCTTTTCTTTTTCATTTCCCATACAGCATTTCTTTTTTCATTTTCATAGAGCTTTTCTTTTTCATTTTCATAGAGCTTTTCTTTTCATTTTCAGAACTTTTCCTTACAGCTTTTTTTTTCATTTTCATTTTCTTTTTTTTTCATTTCTCATAGAGCTTTTCTTTTTCATTTCTCATACAGCTTTTCATTTTCATTTCTCATAGAGCTTTTTCTTTTCATATAGCTTTTCTTTTTTCATTTCTCATACAGCATTTCTTTTTTCATTTTTCAGCTTTTTTCTTTTCATTTCTCATAGAGCTTTTTTTTTTCAATTCTCATACAGCATTTCTTTTCATTTCTCATAGAGCTTTTCTTTTTCATTTCCCATACAGCTTTTCTTTTCATTTCTCATAGAGCTTTTCTTTTTCATTTCCCATACAGCTTTTCTTTTCATTTCTCATAGAGCTTTTCTTTTTCATTTCCCATACAGCTTTTCTTTTCATTTTCTCATTTTTCTTTTTCATTTCCCATATTCTTTTCTTTTCATTTTTTTTCTTTTCATTTCCCATACAGCTTTTCTTTTCATTTCTCATAGAGCTTTTCTTTTCATTTTTCAGTTTTCTTTTCATTTCTCATAGAGCTTTTCTTTTTCATTTTCAGCTTTTTCTTTCATTTACAGCTTTTTCTTTTTCATTTTCTTTTCTTTTCATTTCTCATACAGCTTTTCTTTTTCTTTTCATTTTTCATTTCCCATACAAGCTTTTCTTTTCATTTCTCATACTTTTCTTTTTCATTTCTTTTCATTTTCTCATAGAGCTTTTTCTTTTCATTTCCCATACAGCTTTTCTTTTCATTTCTCATAGAGCATTTCTTTTCATTTCCCTCTTTTAGAGCTTTTCTTTTCTTTTCTCTATACAGCTTTTCTTTTCATTTCTCATAGAGCTTTTCTTTTTCATTTCCCATACAGCTTTTCTTTTCATTTCTCATAGAGCTTTTCTTTTTCATTTCCCATACAGCTTTTCTTTTCATTTCTCATAGAGCTTTTCTTTTTCATTTCTCATTTCTTTTTCATTTCTCATAGAGCTTTTCTTTTCATTTTCAGCTTTTCTTTTCATTTCCCATACAGCTTTTTTTTCATTTTTAGATTTTCTTTTCATTTCTCATACAGCATTTCTTTTCATTTTCATTTCTTTTTTCTCATACAGCTTTTCTTTTCATTTCTCATACACAGCATTTTTCTTTTTTTTTTCCATACAGCTTTTTTTTCATTTCCCATACAGTTTTTCTTTTTTTCATTTCTCATACAGCTTTTCTTTTTCATTTCCCATACAGCTTTTCTTTTCATTTCTCATACAGCTTTTCTTTTTCATTTCTCATACAGCATTTCTTTTTCATTTCTCATACAGCTTTTCTTTTTCATTTCCCATACAGCTTTTCTTTTCATTTCTCATACAGCATTTCTTTTTCATTTCTCATAGAGCTTTTCTTTTTCAATTCTCATATAGCTTTTCTTTTCATTTCTCATAGAGCTTTTCTTTTTCATTTCTCATAGAGCTTTTCTTTTTCATTTCCCATACAGCTTTTCTTTTCATTTCTCATACAGCATTTCTTTTTCATTTCTCATAGAGCTTTTCTTTTTCATTTCTCATACAGCTTTTCTTTTTCATTTCTCATATAGCTTTTCTTTTTCATTTCTCATACAGCATTTCTTTTTTCATTTCTCCTTTTACATTTTTTTACAAGTTTTTCTTTTCATTCCCCATAGCTTTTTCTTTTTTACAGCATTTCTTTTTCATTTCTCATAGAGCTTTTCTTTTTCATTTCTCATACAGCTTTTCTTTTTCATTTCTCATACAGCTTTTCTTTTCATTTCTCATACAGCTTTTCTTTTCATTTCTCATACAGCTTTTCTTTTCATTTCCTATAGAGCTTTTCTTTTCATTTCCCATAGAGCTTTTTTTTCATTTCTTATATAGCATTTCTTTTCATTTCTCATACAGTTTTTCTTTTCATTTCCCATAGAGCTTTTCTTTTCATTTCTCAGAGATGTTTTCAGTTTCATTTCTCATACAGCTTTGTTTGGATTCGATGGTCACTTTATCTTTTGTTCCTAGAATGGCCTCTGATTTATTCTATCATAATTTCATAGGGCCTAAAACTATGTAATTATTACAGTTTCTAGTGTACGGCAATCCCTACCTACCTACTGAATATTCCGTGTTAGTCAAATGGTTGCATTTACTTTATAATGTAATCTATCTTTATTCTATCAGTACAGTTTCAAGTCTGTTGACTGGGAACGACTGAGAGTAAATCTTCAAATCAACATTTCGTAATTTCACTCATTTCATCAATACAACAATCTGAAACATCTCGATTCTTTCTTATTGTTCCTGTAATGATTTTACTTTCTAACAATTCTCCAGCCTTTAAGCGCTGTTCATTTTCTGTCTGCAATAAAAACGATCTCGTTCCGCCTGATATCATATTTAGTGTGTTGTTATATGATGCCATGATATACACTTCGGGTGGGACTGAATAGAAAAGACTAAATCTCTCATTCAATTGTAATTGTAATGTCTCCGATTACATTTTTTTTCCATTCTGTGATAATTTCTAGCATCCAATTGTAACTGTTTTATGTATGTCCGAGAAGAACTGACCAATTTCTAAGCAGCAACTCTTCTTACCCGGCTGGGTGTTACTTCGTCCCGTTTAAGTTGCAGTATTCGTTTTTAATATTATCAATTTTATGTCATTTTATAATTTGTATATTTTTTTAAAAAAAGTTTTAATTGTTTTTACTTATTTTTTCAAACTTGATATGTCTGCCTCTATTTTAAATATTCTATATGACTGCTCACCTATACAGAACTTATGAAAAATTTACAAATAGTTTGGAAAATGGACTGAAGTTTTCACACAAGAAAAACAAACTATATTAACTTTTAGCCTAATTTAACAATGAATAAGGACCAAAATAAAGTAACATGTAATAATAATAATAACTTATAAATACAATAAACTACTACTAATATTTAAAACAATAAATTATAATAAAAAGATAATAATAACAATAATGATATTCATTATCGCTGTTATTATTTAAATAATAGTAGTAATAATAATAATCTTACTTATTATAAAACGCGGGTTGTGTGTGTGTGTCTGTACGTTTATATATTGGATCGGATTGCCTACATTTTTCAGCCGATTTCAACAAAACTTCACAGGACTACGTAAAATTGCATTGTGGTGATTCTGACAGCGCCAAAAATTGGAAAAACACAATTGTTTTTGCATAAGATCAATTTGAAAACACGATTCTGTCGCCAGATTGAAAGGGGGACAACTCATATTGAGTTATACTTATTATAAAACCCAGGTTGTGTGTGTGTTTGTGTGTGTGTGTGTGTGTGTGTGTGTGTGTGTGTTCGTTTATATATGGGATAGGATTTTACATTTTCAACCGATTTCAACAAAACTTCATTTTTTTTGGCAGGTAGTGTTTCTTATTGTCTTGCACACTTTTTTCTTTATTTTTACATTCAGAATGCTTTAAAAATTCCATTTACAAGACAATTGTTTATAATAAAATTCTATTCAATCGGTAGACACATAACGAATGAAAACAATGTTTTTGTCTGAGTTTGACAAATTCGTAAAAAAAAAAAAAACTAATTAAGACATGCGTGTCCGTCAACCTTAAAGAATAATCATTGTCAATTTTATTTTTCAGTCTTTATGATGGTCCATACTTGATTTATCTCTTACTGTTACATCCCCGGGCAACGCCAGGCTCTACTGCTAGTAATGATATATAATGATAATAATCCATTATAAAATATATTAATAATCATATTTATCATTACTGTTATTATAACGATGATAATATTAATAATAATAATAATGACTTATAATGAAATTAATAATGACTTATAATAAAATGTAATAATAATCATATTATTATTACTTTTATAATAATAATAATAATAATAA